AAAAAAAAAAAAAAAGAGGGGAGAAATCATCTCTTAAAAGTGAGAAATCCAGTATCACTAAAATAACGTGAGAAAACAAGGAAAATAATTTAGCATTTGGTCATCATAGCTGCAATTTCCAATCTCATCTTTTCCATTAAAAACTCCTATTTTCTGGGACTTCCCTGGTGGTGCAGTGGTTAAGAATCCACCTGCCAATGGAGGGGACATGAGTTCGATCCCTGGTCCGGGAAGATCCCACATGCCGCAGAGCAACTAAGCCCGTGTGTCACAACTACTGACCCCACATGCCGCAACTACTGAAGCTCACAGGTTCTAGGGACCGCGTGCCGCAACTATTGAGCCTGTGTGCTGCAACTACTGAAGCCTGGGTGCCTAGAGCCCGTGCTCTGCAACAAGAGAAGCCACCGTAACGAGAAGCCCGCACACTGCATCAAAGAGTAGCCCCCACTCGCCACAACTAGAGAAAGCCCATGCACAGCAACAAAGACCCAGTGCAGCCAAAAACAACAACAACAAAAACAACAAAACAAAACTCCTATTTTCTTATGGGCAACAGGGAAATATTTCTTATCCACTGCCCTATCACTTACTTGGTAATCAGTTAAACAATGTATGACATTTAGCTAAAAGACTTAAAAAGAGAATTTTTTAAATCTTTCAGATTAAAATGTTTTTATACAAACTTTTTGTGTAAAGTTATAGAAATACTTTGACAAGAGCAAACACACATTAACTGGTTACAGGATCAGTGCTATGGGTGAGCCTTTCAGTTATTGTAAGATACTGAATCATATCACAGATTTATTCTGGACTTTGAAAATTAGAGTACTTTGTAATGACACAACAATATAGTGTTGCTGTGCTTTTTATCGAGATACTTTTATTTATCATAGCTTTTTTAAAAAAAGAATGGAAGAAGTCTTCAAAAATTCTGAAATTCGGTATTTTCCTCATTGCAAAGACTGTCTCATTTGAGAAAATTATGGAATAATATCAGTGAAAACAACAAGGTTGCAATCACATCCATGAGCTTTAAGCTTGCAGTTAGAATTCAAGCCCAGATACTTTCTCATGCCATAATAGATTTAAAACCACTACGCAATCAAACTACCTAGTAAGCACTGATGATTTTCCAGACACTGTTAGTAATGAGGATTTAAATTTGACGGAGACCAAGGTGCATCCCTCAGGGCATAAGTGAGCTAGACGTAACAGGCCAGGGTCTGTAGAAGAGGAAACAATTAATCCTACATTGAAAGATTCAGAGCAACAAAGACAAGGAGATATTTAGCTGTGACTTGAAATATGAGGCCTTTGTTTCAGGAGAGAAAGAAGGTCTGGGTTACTGGCATTTCAGTGAGAGCTAACAGCATAAACAAAGAAGAGAAGTATACCACTTTCACCTACTCAAAACAAGAGAAATGCAAATCAAAACTATGCTGAGATAACACTTCTCATCTCTCAGACTGGCAAAAATTCCTAAATGTAAGAACGTGTGCTGTTGGCAAGGCTGTGGAGAAAAAGATGGACTTACACACTGCTGGTGGGAGTGTAAATGGTACAACCCCTGTGGCACTGGGGCAATATCTAAAAAGAATCCATGGCATCCAGAGGGATGGGGTCTGTGGGGGTAGGAGGGATCAGGAATGAAGGTGAAAGAGAGGCAGGGATTGGATCAATAAGCAACACCTTGTCTGGCTAACTACATTATCCAGGAGGCAGTGAGGAGTTAGTAAGATTTTATCAAAGCAAACTAGGGACATCAACAGGGCTGTTTTGTAAAATGATGACTTAAACTCAAATTTGCTTATGATTAAAAGGAATAATGGGGAGGACCTTCAGGACGGCAGAGGAGTAAGATGTGGATGGAGATCACCTTCCTCCCCACATGTACATCAAAAATACATCTACAGGGCTTCCCGGGTGGCACAGTGGTTGAGAGTCTGCCTGCCGATGCAGGGGACACGGGTTCGTGCCCTGGTCTGGGAAGATCCCACATGCTGCGGAGCGGCTGGGCCCGTGAGCCATGGCCGCTGAGCCTGCGCATCTGGAGCCTGTGCTCCGCAACAGGAGAGGCCACAAAAGTGAGAGGCCCATGTACAGCAAAAAAAAATTTTTTTTAAATACATCTACATGTGGAACAACTCCTACAGAAGACCTATTGAACACTGGCAGAAGACCTCAGACTTCCCAAAAGGCAAGAAACTCCCCACGCACCTGGCTGTGTGGCTGATAGGGTCTTGGTGCTCCGGCTGGCTGTCAGGCCTGAGCCTCTGAGGTGAGAAGGCCGAGTTCAGGACATTGGACCACCAGAGACCTCTTGGCCGCACATAATATCTATCAGAGAGAGCTCTCCCACATATCTCCATCTCAACACTAAGACCCAGCTCCACACAATGACCAGCAAGCTACAGTGCCAGATACCCTATGCCAAACAACTAGCAAGACAGGAACACAATCACACCCATTAGCAGAGAGGCTGCCTAAAATCATAATAGGTGCACAGACACCCCGAAACACACCACTGGACGCAGTCCTGCCCACCAGAAAGAAAAGATCCAGGTTCATCTACCAGAACACAGGCACCAGTCCCCTCCGCCAGGAAGGCTATACAACCCACTGCACCAACCTTACCCACTGGGGGAAGACACCAAAAATAACAGGAACTACAAACCTGCAGCCTGTGAAAAGGAGACCCCAAACACAGTAAACTAAGCAAAATGAGAAGACAGAGAAATACACAGCAGATGAAGGAGCAAAGTAAAAGTCCACCAGATGAAACAAATGAAGAGGAAATAGGCAGTCTACCTGAAAAAGAATTCAGAGTAATGAGAGTAAAGATGATCTAAAATCTTGGAAATAGAGAAAATACAAGAAACATTTAACAAGTACTTAGAAGAACTATAGAGTGAGCAAACAAACAATGATGAACAACACAATAAATGAAACTAAAAATTCTCTAGAACAATCAATAGCAGAATAACTGAGGTAGAAGAACAGACAAGTGACCTGGAAGATAAAATAGTGGAAATAACTATCGCAAAGCAGGATAAAGAAAAAAGAATGAAAAGAATTGAGGACAGTCTCAGAGACCTCTGGGACAACATTAAATGCACCAACATTCGAATTACATGGGTCCCAGAAGAAGAGAAAAAGAAAGGGACTGAGAAAATATTTGAAGAGATTATAGTTGAACTTCCCTAATATGGGAAAAGAAATAGTCAAGTCCAGGAAGCACAGAGAGTCCCATACAGGATAAATCCAAGGAGAAACATGCCAAGACACATATTAATCAAACTATCAAAAATTAAATACACAGAAAAAATATTAAAAGCAGCAAGCAAGAGCAACAAATAACACACAAGGGAATCGCCATAAGGTTAACAGCTGATCTTTCACCAGAAACTCTCCAAGCCAGAAGGCAGTGGCAGGATATATTTAAAGTGATGAAAAGGAAAAACCTTCAACCAAGATTACTCTACCCAGCAAGGATCTCATTCAGATTCGATGGAGAAATTAAAACCTTTACAGACAAGCAAAAGCTAAGAGAATTCAGCACCACCAGACAAGCTTTACAACAAATGCTAAAGGAACTTCTCTGAGCAGGAAACCAAGAGAAGGAAAAGACCTACAAACACAAACCTAAAACAATTAAGAAAATGGTAATAGGAACATACATATCGATAATTACCTTAAATGTAAGTGGTTTAAATGCTCCAACCAAAAGTCACAGACTGGCTGAATGGATACAAAAACAACACCCATACATATGCTCCTACAAGAGACCCACTTCAGACCTATGGAAACATACAGACTGAAAGTGAGGGATGGAAAAAGATATTCCACACAAATGGAAATCAGAAGAAAGCTGGAGTAGCAATTCTCATATCAGACAAAATACACTTTAAAATAAAGACTATTACAAGACACAAAGCAGGACACTACATAATGATCAAGGGATCAATCCAAGAAGAAGATATAACAATTGTAAATATTTATGCACCCACCATAGGAGCCCCTCAATACATAAGGCAAATGGAACCAGCCATAAAAGGGGAAATCGACAGTAACACAATCATAGTAGGGGACTTTAACACCCCACTTTCACCAATGGATAGTTCATCCAAAATGAAAATAAATAAGGAAACACAAGCTTCAAATGATACATTAAACAAGATGGACTTAATTGATATTTATAGGACATTCCATCCAAACAAAATACACTTTCTTCACAAGTGCTCATGGAACATTCTCCAGGATAGATCATATCTTGGGTCACAAATCAAGCCTTGGTAAATTTAAGAAAACTGAAATTGTATCAAGTATCTTTTCCAACCACAACGCTATGAGACTAGATATCAATTACAGGAAAAAAACTGTAAAAAATACAAACACATGAAGGCTAAACAATACACTACTAAATAACCAAGAGATACCTGAAGAAATCAAAGAGGAAATCAAAAAATACCTAGAAACAAATGACAATGAAAACACGACAACCCAAAACCTATGGGATGCAGCAAAAGCAGTTCTAAGAGGGAAGTTTATAGCAATACAATCCTACTTCAAGAAACAAGAAAAATCTCAAATAAACAACCTAACCTTACATCTAAAGCAATCAGAGAAAGAAGAACAAAAACCCCCCAAGTTAGCCGAAGGAAAGAAATCATAAAGCTCAGAGCAGAAATAAATGAAGGAAACAATAGCAAAGATCAATAAAACTAAAAGCTGGTTCTTTGAGAAGATAAACAAAATTGATAAACCATTAGCCAGACTCATCAAGAGAATAAGGGAGAAGACTCACATCAATAGAATCAGAAATGAAAAAGGAGAAGTAACAACTGACACTGCAGAAATACAAAGGATCATGAGACATTACTACAAGCAACTATGTGCCAATAAAATGGACACATTCTTAGAAAAGCACAACCTTCCAAGACTGAACCAGGAAGAAACAGAAAATATAAACAGACCAATCACAAGCACTGAAATTGAAACTGTGATTAAAAATCTTCCAACAATCCAGGCTTCCCTGGTGGCGCAGTGGTTGAGAGTCTGCCTGCCGATGCAGGGGACACGGGTTCATGCCCCGGTCCAGGAGGATCCCACATGCCACGGAGCGGCTGGGCCCGTGAGCCATGGCCGCTGAGCCTGCGCGTCCGGAGCCTGTGCTCCGCAACAGGACAGGCCACAGCAGTGAGGGGCCTACGTGCCACAAAAAAAAAAAAAAAAAAAAAGATTATTTAAAAAAAAACTCATTAGGGAGAGTAATATATGTCTAGCAGCAATAAGATAACTTTACCTTAAACATTTTTCTTGAAATTTTTAGTAATTTAAAATATTTCAACTGTTATCATTTTTTCAGAAAAGACTTCCCTCCCCTCTTCCAAGAAAAGAGTTCTCAGTGAATTTTTAATCCCCCCTCTTTTCTATATCCTCTCCTCTGACTTAAAAGTTCTTTTTCCTCCCCTACTCAAGACCTATATTCCTAGAGTGAAGCAATCTGGCGAAATGTGACAAAAGGTGGAGGAGTGGATAAGAGCTCTTCTAATCCTAGATTCTATAAACCCATTCTTACCTGCTGTGGAAAACAGGTGCGGACTGAGTGCTCTGTGTAACCAAAAGATGGCCCTTCAAAGACAGCTGTTGGGAGCTTCAGAACTTCCTTCAGAAACTGGTCAAACTTGCTAAATATCATTAAGCCATTGGAATCTGACATCTGGGAGAAAACATCTATGAGAACAAAACCAAATAAAGTCAAACTATAAGGAAATATCAACTCTTTATAAACAGCTCTATGTCATTTGTATACCAGTCCAAAAGCATCATTAAAAAGTATCATAAAGTTATTATGATTTTTAGTTAACAGGAATTCTCATTCTCATTAACACTGTGTGGTTACTTTGCTGATGAGGCCCCTCTTTCCCACCCACTTAATATTCTACCTAAACATCACATAACCACTCATGTACGTCTACCTACCTACTCTTTTTGAGCATACGTAACTGGATAATACATAACTTTTTATTTTATCTATTTACACCTCACTTTATTCCAAGAAGAATTTGTAGCAGCATATCTTTATCTCTTACATTTGTGTACATATTTATATAAGACATATATATCTTTGAGTGTATGAATATATTTGCATATTGGTGATAGGGTATGAAAGAAATTGTATTGTATTTGCATATTCATATACTAATGATGTAATATATTCCTGTGTAGTGTGTTTACTTAAAATATTCCATTTAGTAAGTTCCAGAGTAGAATAAAAAGAACTCATATAATCTCTTCTATCACAAGATACTCTGATACTATAAGATCCTATTTTTATATAAAGTCTGACCCAAGCAGCTAGAAAGACAGTTCCAGTAATACTACTATTTCTTTATCTCCTTGTAGAGAGTTTCCTATCTCCAGTTAGTTATTTCTCTCTTCTCACCCATAATTGGGGAGAAAAAGAAAAATAACCAGGAGCTCAAAACAACTTGACAACTTTAACCTAAGCTTTCTTTTCAAACTATTCAGCTTTCTTACAAACAAATCAGTGAGTTAAACATGCAGAGAAAAATAATTTCCTGAGGCCTTTCCAAACATTGCACTTAAAAAATCATATTCTGGGCTTCCCGGGCGGCACAGTGGTTGAGAGTCCGCCTGCCGATGAAGGGGACACAGGTTCGTGCCCCGGTCCAGGAGGATCCCACATGCTGCAGAGTGGGTGGGCCGGTGAGCCATGGCCGCTGAGCCTGCGCGTCCGGAGCCTGTGCTCCGCAACGGGAGAGGCCACAGCAGTGAGAGGCCCGCATATCACAAAAAAAAAAAGAAAAAAAGAAAAAAAAATCATATTCTACATATTCATAATGAACAGGTATCTTAGAGATACATATGTATCCCAAAGCACCAGATATAGGAAAAAAACCACCATTAAAATACATTAATCAAAGAAAGATAAAATTTAGATCATCAAGTCCACAGGGTAACTTTTAAGGCATTAGAAAACGGGAAATTATCAAGGAATGAAAATCTCCAGTATATTCCTCTCATGAGAGCTGCTAGCTTGTAGTTGAGGTAAAAGTAATAAATACCCATGAGGTGGGGAAAATCCAACAAGAGGCTAAAAGAAGTATGGTCCTAGTAGAAAGTAAAATCAATTAATTAACAAATACATACTAAGTTCTTACTAAGTAGTCCAAGTGCCAAGTATTCTGCTAGGTGTTTTGAAAAACAACAAAGAAGTATGATACATGGTCCTTATCCCCCCCAAGAAACTTTCAACATAGCTGGAAAAAGTAAGATACACATGAAGCAAAGAAGAATAAAGCACTAAGCTGACTCTAAATAGAACAGAAAGAAGGGAGGCATAAGATATTTCTTAAACCTCACCATTTGCCTGGCACCACAACAGGTAACTATGGCTGAGTCTGCTGTAGACACCCAGTATTCTTATCTCCTTCCTTAGTAACAGAACATTAATTTTATTTTGTGCAGCAATGTACCCAACTAAGAGATTAAACTTTGAAGCCTTCTTCTAACAACTTGCAGTCATATGACTAGGTGTTTGGACAATGAGACTATAAACAGAAGGACTGTGAGAGACTTCCTAGAAGGCTAGTTTTAGGCAGCTTTTTAAAGAAAGCTGACTGCACTGGAAATAGACCCTTTCTTCCTTCCTCCTTTTGCTATCTGGAATGCAGCTACGATGGCTGGAGCTTCCAGCAGTTCCCTTGGACTATGCGGTAATCTCAACTTTTATGTAGAAATCATACACTAGAATGATAGAAAAGAAAGATATAGAAAGCCTGGGTCCCAGATGAACATGAAACTATCATACGAGCCCTGGACTACATACTCCTGGACTTCTTTTATATATGAGAAAAATAAACTTCAACTTTGTTTAAAATACTGTTACCTTGGTTTTTGTTTTCATGTAGCAATCCCCAATATTAAGTACTACTATAGTTTACTAAACATTACCTCATTTTACTGTCACAAAAAGGTGTGTGTGTACACTTGTGTATGCACATAATTGTTTAAATTTTATAGATAAGGAAAGTAGCTTAGAAAGGTTAACTTTCTTAAGGTCAAAAGTTACTAAGTGGCTAAATCAAGATTTAAACCCACACTTATCCAACTGCAAAGACATTCCATTACATCACACTTCTTCAAAATATAGTGTAGAGGGCTTCCCTGGTGGCGCAGTGGTTGAGAGTCTGCCTGCTGGTGCTAGGGGACACAGGTTCGTGCCCTGGTCCAGGAGGATCCCACATGCCACGAAGCGGCTGGGTCCGTTGAGTCATGGCCGCTGAGCCTGTGAGTCTGGAGCCTGTGCTCCGCAACGGGGGAGGCCACAACAGTGAGAGGCCCGCGTACCGCAAAAA